CGATAGCTTAATAATAGCATATATATGAATGTTTCGGCAAAATAACATATAAAATGCAAAATCTGTGTAGTGTAGAAAGATAAAGCAACATATGCTTCTGTTTAGGCTCAAAAAGATAAACCGTGTGAACTACACAAATTTATCAGACTCAATTAGTGATCAAAAAAACTTGAAAGGGGGACATATATACTTCTAATTCAATATCAGCTTTCTCCGAATGAGAAACTGATAGATTGTGAGTTGTGTGTCCCAAGTGTTATTGAAACACTTATCTGTTAAGAGATAAATGAGTAGCTGGTGGGGTTGTGACAAGAATTGGCCTGGGCTTTGCCTTTTTCAATACTAGTCTCGAAAGAATTGAGAACTAATAGATTATGTGGTATGCTCAGAATTTTGAAGTTTGGAACAAGATTCTATTAATCTTTTAATCCTAACACAACTCTCATCAAATTTTTTTAGCTCACAACAACTACCCCTCTCTTTTTCATTTTCATCTCAGCACACAAACCCTTTTGTACTAAATCTCACTCAGATATGGTTGTCCTCTTGGGTAGGTTTGTCGATTCTGACATTCCATAGAGGTATTTCTGTTAAGCACTCAGTCTCTCCTAAAATTAGCAGTGTATGCTCAAATGATCACAATCAATTGATCAAAAGTATTATTGCTATAAGCACAATGATCAGTAAAAATTGATCAAGAAATTTGGCTTTTAAGTACAATCAAAGAAGGAGTGATGTTCAAAATCAGATTATTCAGTACGTGAGAGAAACGAATGAAGATCTGTAAGAACAAGTTTACAGATTATGAATATTCAAAAAAATAACGAATGTGTATCAATCAATGTAAAAAAATCAGAAAAAAATAACCTTTGAATACTAACGAGCGTATTATCACCGAAAATGATATTATTTAAGAGACGTGATAATAACAATTTCAAGAATAGCTGAAACGGGTATTGGAGTTATGTTCGATGAGAAATTACGCAAGTAAAATCTCAGGAAATACCTGTTCAGAAAATGTACTCGTTTCCTTAAAAAAATTCACTTTCCGAAAAACATTTATTCAGAAATTCTAGAGACTCCCCCTAGAAAATAGATTTAAGAAATGTTTCAGTTAAGCTCAAAAGAATAATAAAAAATGGAAACATTTTAAGCACGGGTCCTAAACTGAGTGTTTACAAACCACACTCGTTAAAGCACGGGTCCTGAACTGTGTTGTTCAGAAGCCTCGTTTGGACAGTATACAACTCCCCCTAAATTTGTGCATCATCTGTACGAATTTCTGATCAATGCAGTAATGACGCACCTGCAAAATAAGATCAGACAGATTTTGGTACCCAAACAAACTTGGGTCCTACTTTGTTAGTATCAGGATGGGGAATGTTGTAACTGCCAAACCATCTATTTCTATTAGATGTATTCTTTTTAGCACTTTTAACAGGATGATTATATGCATAATAAGATCCATACCAATTATTGAAATCATACCTGTTATTACCTTTCAAATTCTTCTGATATCTGTTATCGTCAGTCCACCTGTTGTACCTCCTCCTGTTCACAAAATGTTAGATTCCATAGTGCAAAATGTAAAAAGTAATAAAAAACAATAAGTGATGAAGAACCAGAAGACCGATGAAGAGATCAAGGCAGAAAAGACTAAGTCTGAATCGATGGAAATACCAACCATCGAACCGATGGACCAAGTACAACCAGCGGATCGATGGATGATGCGATGGAAAGTGTATTCATTGATGCGATGGACAGACTAA